TATCTTTATTTATTAATCCATAGGGGTTAAAATTAATTTTTAATTTTTATTACAATTTTAAAACGCAGATACATGCTATAATTATATTACTACATCGAATAACTGATTGAGAATCAATAAATTAGATAACATCGACTTATATTGTAGCTATCTTCCTTTTGAAAACGATATTTTCTCTATGGCCTCCCAAATGAGCTTCTACAAATTTTTAGGAAGTAAGTAAAATAACAAAGGAAAAATAGATCTTCAAAGATTTTGACGCAATTTATCAGAGATAAGTAATATTTGGGATTTCAAAAAAATGAACAGATGTTTTTGTACATAAAACAGTTCTAAAGAAAAAAATTATTTAAATAAATTGTTTTAATTATTATGGCATCTTCACAAGTTGATTTTAAAAGGCTGCCTTTGAGAGTATACATTGAACAAAAATAGTAACATCTAAATGTTTGGTAATATACCAATCTAATATTACAAATTCCTTACTGCAACATTTAAAAATTTAGTTAATATTTTCTAAAACTATAATCATGAGTCATTTAAAATTTTACTTATAACTGAGAAGCAATATATTTAAAAATTAATATTAATTTAAAAAAAAATGATTTGTGCTTTAAATGCAAGATACACTCTTTCCATTATGTTTTTAGCCTAAGAGTATTGTGGAATTTAATGGGATTACTCAAGAAAGCCACCCTTAAAAAAGAAAACCAATTTTTTAATATCCAAGATTAATGACAAAGAAATTTAATATTTTAAAGATGGTTCAATAATAAGAATGTATTTATGATATCACCTAAAATTTTGTTAGAGATAGAATTACAAACACAACAGATTTCAAAGTATTTATTAATTTTGAATAAATACAACATTTTTAATGGCATGGAGCTTATGGACTAAATAATTAAAGGACTGGGAAATGGACAGCAACATGGTAAGGAGAATCTCTGTTGAATGTTGGAGGGGATTACTCAAATGATGGAAAAAAATAAGGTTAATGGTAGGAAATAATTTAGAACTATTGTTGGTAAGCTCTTGATAATTAAGTGATCTAGGTATGTTAAAATATATGAAATTGGAGAATATAAAGATGATTTGAGATAAGGACTTTGGAAATTTATACAAGGAGATAGAACAATGTATGTTTAAGATTAATAATTTTAGAGGTATTGGAAAATATAATGAATTGGGATTAAAAAATGGTAAATGGAAAGAGCTGAGCGATAAATATTGTAGCCAAAAGCAAATTACGTTTGTTGGTGAATATTTCAATGGTATCAAAATTGGTCGATGGGATACTGTCTTTAATGGAAACTAAATGTATATTTTCAAATTTGAAAATTTTAGCGGAGGTGGATCTTTTAATGAGAAAGGTTAGAAGATTGGTTTGTGGATTGAGTTAAGTGATGGATATTACGAAAGGTCTTAAGTAACCTATTAAGGAGTGTATAATGGTAATACTAATAAAAATGTTGGAAGGTGGGAAATTAAATATGGAGGTGAAAAATAATTAAAAATGTAAATAATAATGTTTAAAATTATTTTAGTGGAGGTGGATTATATGATGCAATAGGTTCGATTAAGATAGGTAGATGGACAGAGTTACATGAAGGATTCGATTAAGATTCATAAGTCACTATTGTTGGAGAATACACCAACGGAAAAAAAAATGGAAGATGGGATATTATGTTTAAAAAGGATGCTAGTTAAACAATTTAAATAATGTAAGCAAATATGTGAAATTTATTAGCGGAGGTGGTTCTTATGATGAAGAAGGCTTAAAGGTTGGGAGTTGGATAGAGATTGGCGATGGGTTGAGTCGCCATTGTTTAGTGACTTAAGAAGGTGAATATAAAAAAGGGACAAAAATTGGAAGATGGTATATTATGTTTAAAACAGATAAAAATGAAAATTTTATTTAAATGTAAACAAAAATGTGAAGAAATGTTAGAGGAGGAGGTTCTTATGATGGAGAAGGTTTAAAGGTTGGAAGATGGATAGAAATGGGCGATGGGTTTGGTCGTGATTCTTTAGTGACTTTAAAAGGTGATTACTAAAATGGGATAAAAATTGGAAGATGGCTTATAGATTATCAATATGATATGGATTATAAAAATTATCAGCAAAGATGGGAGATTTCTGAATTAAGGAATTATGGCTAATCTCTTTAAACAATGTTAATATATCTCATTATAATAGTGGTGGAGGAGTATACGAATGTAATGGTGTAAAGGTTGGTAGATGGGTGGAATTAATTGACAATTTTAATGATTATTTTCAAGTAATTTACTTAGGTGATTACAATAATGGTTAGAAAAGAGGTAGATGGGATATTAACTGGAATAAAGGAGAAAGAATGTAAAATGAAATTATATAAAATTATTAGTGGTGGTGGGTTGTATGATGACAAAGAAGGTAATACTTTGGTTAAAATTGGAAAGTGGGTGGAATTGCATGAATATTTTTCAGAAGGTGACTAAGTCATTTATGAAGGTGATTATGATATGAAGGGTATAAAGGTAGGTAGATGGGATATTATAGTTTAAGAGGATAGATGGAGAAAAAAATGTTAAAAAATGTAAATTAAATATATGAATAATAATATGTTAGTGGTGGTGGTTCTTATGATTAAGACGGAATTAAAATTGGGAGATGGGTTGAATTTTTTGGAAATACTTTTAAACTTCGATAAGTCTTATATAAGGGGATGTATAACCCAAAAGGCCTTAAGATAAATAGATGGGAGATTGAATTTTAAGAAAAACATATGTATATATAATTTTAGAATATAATGATAGTGGAGGTGGATCATATGATAGATAAGGCTAAATTAAAATTGGTAATTGGGTAGAGTTGGATGAAAGGTTTGGATATTACAACAAGGTTACTTATGGCGGTAAATATAATATGAATGGTCTGAAAGAAGGTAGATGGGATATATATTTTTGTGAATCAGATGAAGAGGAATATAAATAACTGTAACTTATAGATATTCATAAGGGAAAATTTACAGCGGTGGTGGATCTTATGATTATTTAGAAGGCAATTCAACAAAGATTGGAAAGTGGGTAGAATTGGATGAAGGATTTTGGGATTCGAAAAAAGTCATCTATGATGGCGAATATAATAAAAATGGTATGAAGGCAGGTAGATGGGATATAAATTATTGTAAATTTAATGAAAAGGAATATAAATAAATGTAATTAATATATTAGAAAAAGAGAATGTAGTGGTGGTGGATAATATGATTAAGAAGGCAATTAGAAGAAGTTTGGAAATTGGGTAGAATTGGATGAAGAGTTTTTCGATTGGGTTAGAGTCATTTGGAAAGGTGAATATGATAAAAATGGTATGAAGGTGGGTAGATGGGATATAAATTATTGTAAATATAATGAAGAGAAATATTAATTAATGTAATTATGTTATTGGTATAGGTTTTGAAAATATTTAGTGGAGGTGGATCATACGTTGAGAAAGAGGGTAAGATTAAGATCGGTATGTGGGGAGAGTTGCATGAAAAGTTTTTTGACCACAGATATTTCGTTTTATATGGTGAGTATAATACGAATGGCATAAAGGTAGGTAGATGGGATTTCTTAGATCTAACCAATAATAATTCAATATGGTAATATAATTAAGTGAATCTCATAGCGGCTGCGTTAATTTTGATGATGATGGAAATGAAATTTACAGAAGCGAAGAGTAATTATTATTTTTAAATTAATAGCTAAGATATTATTTATGTTGGATAATTTAAAAAAGGAGGGAAGATAGGCAGATGGGATATAATGTATATGCCATTTGGGGTAGATCTCAATACCCCAATACAGTATCGTGAGCCATATAGATAAATGTAAATTATAGGTCAAAATATATTGTTTTAGCGGAGGCGGATATTATGATTAGGGAGAGATTAAAATCGGTAGGTGGAAAGAGTTGCATGAAGTTTCATAAAAAATCACTTATGAGGGTGAATATAATATGAAGGGCAAGAAGGTCGGAAGATGGGATATTTGTTCCTGGAAGGATTCGAAGATGGAGAAAGAATAGATGATGTAAATATATAATTATAAAAGGGAATATAAATAAAAAAAAGTGGTGGTGGATCATATGATTTAGAAGGAACTAAGTTTGGAAAGTGGATTGAAGTAGAATAGTGGTCAACATTTTTAGGGGAATACAATATGAAAGGTCAAAAAATAGGAGTTTGGGTAGAATTGGATAGAAAGAATAAGAAAACATCAGAAAAGAAATATGATAATTGAAAGTTTAAATAATACAATAACATATTATAAGCAGTGCAATTTTAAATAATTCTAGTTTAAGTAGGAGTCATTTATTTATTTATATATTTTTTTTAATCTATTAGTTTGAAGAAATTTTTCAGAATATGAATATATTAAATTTAAAGTTATCTTAAAATTATGTGTACAAAAGTTCTTGATTTCTAGTAGGTT